GATGTTTCATTTTGTGCCGCCCCCTAGTAAAAGTTAATAATGAGTGTTTCAGGTGTATAAAATCATATAAATGGTTAAAATGGGGGAAAGAACAAAACAGAAGACGGATTGTGAGATAAAGTAGCTGATTTCATTCAGAAAACCAGGTTGAAGTTGGAATTTTCCGTCCCACCTTAAATGCTGCAGCAGTTACATTCTGGCGCCTGGAGCCACACTGTAACTGCTGCAGCATTTAAGGTGGAACGGAAAATTTAAAAAATGGAGGCTGGAGAATAATTAGACAGCATAGTTTTGTACATATAGAGTCTGTAGAGGTTGTGACGTCAGTGGCTGTAGCGCTGTGATGGCTGTGATGGTGTCTGTGATGGTGATGATGGAGCCGCTGTGTCTCCTGCTGATGCGGAGGTGTTCCTCACCCTGCTGGTCTCCTTCAGGTCGTATCTGCAGAGCGTGTGGTCCAGATCGAAGCCGACCACATCGCAGTCCTGCAGGCTGAACGTGCCGGAGGAGCCGCTCGCACTCATGCTGTTCATGTCGCTCCGCCGCCGCAGCGCGCGCACACGCACACTACACCACACGCTCTCTCTCTCTCTCACTGTCACGCTCTCTCGCGCGCTCACGCACCGCTGATTCCCCCGTTCACCGCGCGCGCCGGAGGACACCCCGCTGCGCGCGACTGTTGTCTGTCCGTTTGTTTATATTTATTTATATTTTCTTTATTCGTTCAAAGAAACGAGGACCGTTTTCATTCAAAGTCACTTCCGGGTACCGTAATGACGCGAGTACGGCGGCCGGGCCAGCGCGCTTGACGTCACTCATGCGTAGTCCGTGTGCGTGTGGTTATATGAAGTATAAATGTTTGTATTTAAATATCACACATGTTTGTTTCTGATCTTCAAGGTTTTGTTTGTTTGTTTGTTTCAGATAAAATATTGATTTATTATCATTTTGATCACTAATGTTTCTTTTTTTCCCAGATCATCTCATTTTCACAGCGGCTGATTACAAAAAGTATAATAATAATAATAATAATAATAATAATAAAGTAATCATTACATTGTATGTAATAATAATTATTGTTATTATATTATTGTGATTATTATTGCATTATTATGAAATAATAAATATATGTCTATATTTGTGCTACGTTGTATTTTTGGTATATATTTTATAGTATTTCATATTTATATTTACAAGAATCTTGATATATAATACATTTGTAAAACAATATATATAATTAATTAATATAAGTGATATATTCATGAAGTAATTTATATTATATTATATTATAAATACAATTAAAAATTAAATGACTGTCTCCATTCACTTACATTCACTGTGGACTATTGACATAACTATCTATAGATATTATCTATAGTTATTACCTATTTAGACATTTGTTTATGTTCGAGATATATTACACTATATTACACGGTTGATTTAAATGAAGTACAAGTCGATGTAGCTTTTATACAGCTTAGATAAAAATTATGTGATACACATCAAGTGTAAACTGTTGCAGTAAAAATTAAGGAATCATTATTATTGATGATAATTGGACACGTGACACAGCGTCCATCAAACAGACTGATAATCAAACAGATTGATAATGTAAATAAAATGTTGAATTCAACTTTTTTATCAGACATAAAAGTGAGTAGTTGTGTTATTGATCAGAAACGACTGGCTGCATTCTCTCCCATTCACTGTGGACTCCCTCTAGCGGCCGCTGTAACGTACTGCAAAGGGGATTGGCTGAGAGGAAGTGGGCGGGGCTCCGGCAGCGCAGGTGTCTCAGCAGGTGAGTGAAGAGCTGAAGGACCAGGAAGCGCAGTAGCTTCGAGTCGGAGCAGTAAATCTGTGCAGTGAAGGACTTTGGATCTTCTGCTGAAGAAACGAGCTTCCCTCTCTTCGCTCCGAGTTTCTGGACACTTTGAAGATTCTGACTCTGACTAGTTTTGTCTGCACATTGTGGTTGAATCGATCAGCTTTGAACATTTAAGGCTGTTCCACAGACTCTGAATTATAAGATGCTGTTTGCTGGACTCGGCAGGTGATTAATCAGGAGGTTTTAGGCTGTCGGTGTGTTTGTGTTCTTCAGTATGGAGAGTGTGCGCGAGCGGCTGGTCTCCTGCTGCTTCTCCACTTTTCCATGTCTGCGGAAAAAGGAGTCGGAGCCGTCGGGCGAAGTAATAAAACCAAAACCAGATTCAGGGGGTCTGATCTTCCAGAACCATAACCGCCATCCCCCGTTTACTCCGTCTACCGAGCAGACCCAGCAGACCCAGCATTCCTCGCCGCCTGTGCTTGTGGCGCTGTTTGATTACTCCGCACGCACAGCGGAGGACCTGAGCTTCCACACAGGAGACAAATTTCAGCGGCTGCATGACGACGACATTGACTGGTGGTACGTCAGAGCCCTCAGTGGAGTTTCAGCTAACAAGACAGGCTACATTCCATGTAACTACGTAGCGCAGTTGGAGAGCCTGGACGCAGAACCGTAAGTGTTAAAAAAAACAGTCTTTAGGACTCTTACTCATAGAGGTGCCAGTCTTTAGGACTCTTACTCATAGAGGTGCCAGTCTTTAGGGCTCTTACTTATAGAGGTGCCAGTCTTTAGGGCTCTTACTCATAGAGGTGCCAGTCTTTAGGGCTCTTACTTATAGAGGTGCCAGTCTTTAGGGCTCTTACTCATAGAGGTGCCAGTCTTTAGGACTCTTACTCTTAGAGGTGCCAGTCTTTAGGGCTCTTACTTATAGAGGTGCCAGTCTTTAGGACTCTTACTCATAGAGGTGCCAGTCTTTAGGGCTCTTACTTATAGAGGTGCCAGTCTTTAGGGCTCTTACTCATAGAGGTGCCAGTCTTTAGGACTCTTACTCTTAGAGGTGCCAGTCTTTAGGACTCTTACTCTTAGAGGTGCCAGTCTTTAGGGCTCTTACTCTTAGAGGTGCCAGTCTTTAGGGCTCTTACTCATAGAGGTGCCAGTCTTTAGGACTCTTACTCATATAGGTGCCAGTCTTTAGGGCTCTTACTCATAGAGGTGCCAGTCTTTAGGGCTCTTACTCATAGAGGTGCCAGTCTTTAGGACTCTTACTCATAGAGGTGCCAGTCTTTAGGGCTCTTACTTATAGAGGTGCCAGTCTTTAGGGCTCTTACTCATAGAGGTGCCAGTCTTTAGGACTCTTACTCTTAGAGGTGCCAGTCTTTAGGACTCTTACTCTTAGAGGTGCCAGTCTTTAGGGCTCTTACTCTTAGAGGTGCCAGTCTTTAGGGCTCTTACTCATAGAGGTGCCAGTCTTTAGGACTCTTACTCATATAGGTGCCAGTCTTTAGGGCTCTTACTCATAGAGGTGCCAGTCTTTAGGGCTCTTACTCATAGAGGTGCCAGTCTTTAGGGCTCTTACTCATAGAGGTGCCAGTCTTTAGGGCTCTTACTCATAGAGGTGGCAGTCTTAAGGACTCTTACTCATATAGGTGCCAGTCTTTAGGGCTCTTACTCTTAGAGGTGCCAGCCTTTAGGACTCTTACTCATATAGGTGCCAGTCTTTAGGGCTCTTACTATTAGACGTGCCAGTCTTTAGGGCTCTTACTCATAGAGGTGCCAGTCTTTAGGGCCCTTACTCATAGAGGTGCCAGTCTTTAGGGCTCTTACTCTTAGAGGTGCCAGTTTTTAGGGCTCTTACTCATAGAGGTGCCAGTCTTTAGGGCTCTTACTCATAGAGGTGCCAGTCTTTAGGGCTCTTACTCATAGAGGTGCCAGTCTTTAGGACATTTACACTGGGTAGTGCCAGTCTTTAGGGCTCTTACTCTTAGTGGTACGAATCTTTAGGGCTCTTACTCTTGGTATTGTCAGTCTTTAAAGCTCTAATTCTTGGTAGTGCCAGTCTTTAGGGCTCTTACTCTTGATGGTGCCAGTTTTTAGGGCTCTTACTCTTGGTAGTGCCAATCTTTAGGGCTCTTATTATTAGAGGTACCAGTCTTTAGGGCTCTTATTATTAGAGGTACCAGTCTTTAGGGCTCTTACTTATAGATGTGCCAGTCTTTAGGGCTCTTACTCATAGAGGTGCCAGTCTTTAGGGCTCTTACTCATAGAGGTGGCAGTCTTAAGGACTCTTACTCATATAGGTGCCAGTCTTTAGGGCTCTTACTCTTAGAGGTGCCAGGCTTTAGGACTCTTACTCATATAGGTGCCAGTCTTTAGGGCTCTTACTATTAGACGTGCCAGTCTTTAGGGCTCTTACTCATAGAGGTGCCAGTCTTTAGGGCCCTTACTCATAGAGGTGCCAGTCTTTAGGGCTCTTACTCTTAGAGGTGCCAGTTTTTAGGGCTCTTACTCATAGAGGTGCCAGTCTTTAGGGCTCTTACTCATAGAGGTGCCAGTCTTTAGGGCTCTTACTCATAGAGGTGCCAGTCTTTAGGACATTTACACTGGGTAGTGCCAGTCTTTAGGGCTCTTACTCTTAGTGGTACGAATCTTTAGGGCTCTTACTCTTGGTATTGTCAGTCTTTAAAGCTCTAATTCTTGGTAGTGCCAGTCTTTAGGGCTCTTACTCTTGATGGTGCCAGTTTTTAGGGCTCTTACTCTTGGTAGTGCCAATCTTTAGGGCTCTTATTATTAGAGGTACCAGTCTTTAGGGCTCTTATTATTAGAGGTACCAGTCTTTAGGGCTCTTACTTATAGATGTGCCAGTCTTTAGGGCTCTTACTCATAGAGGTGTTAGTCTCAGAGGCTCTTGCTCTTGGTAGTGCCAATCTTTAGGGCTCTTATTCTTAGAAGTACCAGTCTTTAGGGCTCTTACTTATAGATGTGCCAGTCTTTAGGGCTCCTACTCAAAGAGGTGTTAGTCTCAGGGGCTCTTACTCTTGGTAAAGCCAGTCTTTAGGGTTCTTACTCTTGGTAAAGCCAGTCTTTAGGGCTCTTATTCTTGGTAGTGCCAGTCTTTAAGGTTCTTAATCTTGGTAGTGCCAGTCTTTAGGGCTCTTACACATAAAGGTACCAGTCTTAGGGGCTCTTACTCTTGGTAGTGCCAGTCTTTAGGGCTCTTACACATAAAGGTGCCAGTCTTAGGGGCTCTTACTCTTGGTAGTGCCAGTCTTTAGGGTTCTTATTCTCTGTAATGCCAGTCTTTAGGACTCTTACTCTTGGTATTGTCAGTCTCTAGGGCTCTTACTCTCGGTAGTGCCAGTCATTAGGTCTCTTACTCTTGGTAGAGCCAATGTTTAGGGTTCTTACTCTTAGTAGTGCCCGTCTTTAGGTCTCTTCCTCATAGAGGTGCCAGTCTTTAAGGCTCTTTCTCATATAGGTGCCAATCTTTAAGGCTCTTACTCTTGGTATTGTCAGTCTTTAGGGTTAAAACTATATGTAGTGTCAGGCCAAAATAACAAATTTCACCCATAAGCACAAGACATCTTTTGAAAGTGTCAGGATTTGTAGAATCACCCAGCACTGAAGGAGACACCTTTGTACCTTTTGATCCTGCAAAGTTACAGCAATGAGCCTTTAACCTTTGTTGTCTTCAAACATACCTAATACACCTGAGGTCACCTGATTGTGTCCAACACCGTCCACATTTGTCCAACACTGGACCAGCTGCATTTCTGTGTACAAACTTCACACTTTTGTCTTTTGGATAAACTCTGTCATGCTGTGACTCTTAAGCAGTCCTCTAGCATCACTTTAAAGTTTCAGGGATGCAGTGTGGTGTTTCTTTCCTAATGCTGTTGGTGCTTCCACTCCTGCCATAAGTCAGTAACCTGTTCACAAATTTCTGCTTTTCTATTCTTAAAAATATGAATATATATTTCTGCTTTCAGCTGTTCAGTCAGGTTCTACAGAAAGTTCACGTATAACTCAGACTGAACACCTGTACCTGTATGAGAGGAAAGTTTAGTTGGCAGATACAGCTGGTATTATATAATGTTTTATGATGTTTAATGAGCAGTTGTCCAGGAGTGATGGTGCTGGATGCTGCGCTGTAATGGATGGGTGTGTGTGGGTAATCAATGACTCAGGTAACTGTTCCAGGATAAAGTATTAAAATACTGAAAACAGTAACAGTGCAAAAAGACAATGATCCCAATGTGATGATACAACTGCAATTATGTAGAAATAATAAAATTAATAAATCACTGTGAAATTTCCTGAAGGGTTGTAATTGAAGAGAAATTAAGGTATTCATTATACATCAAAATAAAAATAGTCTGGCAGCACTTCAACACAGAGCAATCCAGATTTATGGTTTTAACCTTTAATTATTTAAAAGTCTTTATCATGTCCTATGAGTAAGAGCCACATGTGGTCTGTAAATGTGAAGTGATATATTTCAGCCAAAGTCCTTTTTTTATTTTCCCCACAGTTAATCAACGATCCCTTCACTATCAGTCAGTTCTGATCGCTCAGTGTGATTGGCTGAGAGACATTCTGTGATTGCCAACGTCTATCGACAACGGCACTCCAACAAAATCTCTCTGCAGGCCCCCTAGTGGCCATTCCACTGGTGGAATTGATCTCACTCGATATTTTATTAATAAAATCAAAGAATATAGTCCATTCAAAAATGCTTAAAATATAAATTGAATGTTCATTTCTAAAATCTAATTTAATAAAACTTAAAATTTAAGGCTGAACTGAAGGAGATGCAAAACAGGCTGAAATTGCATTTTATGGTTACTGTGAAAAGGGGCTATCACTCCGAATTATTCACCTGTAACCTAGCAACAACAACCTGCATTTAAAAATCACAGCCAAAACAAAGTGATGAGTTTATTACAACTACAAAAAAAAAAAAATGCATAATACAAAAAAAGTTTACGTTTACAAGTTCAGCTGTAGGAGTTCAGCTGTAGGAGTTCAGCTGTAGGAGTTCAGCTGTAGGAGTTCAGCTGTAGGAGTTTAGCTGTAGGAGTTTAGCGGTAGCTGTAGGAGTTTAGCGGTAGCTGTAGGAGTTTAGCGGTAGCTGTAGGAGTTTAGCTGTAGGAGTTTAGCGGTAGCTGTAGGAGTTCAGCTGTAGGAGTTCAGCTGTAGGAGTTTAGCTGTAGGAGTTTAGCGGTAGCTGTAGGAGTTTAGCTGTAGGAGTTTAGCAGTAGCTGTAGGAGTTTAGCTGTAGGAGTTTAGCTGTAGCTGTAGGAGTTCAGCTGTAGGAGTTTAGCGGTAGCTGTAGGAGTTCAGCTGTAGGAGTTTAGCGGTAGCTGTAGGAGTTTAGCTGTAGTGTAGGCCTTTAGCTGTAGGCCTTTAACTGTAGGGGTTTAGTTGTAGGGGTTTAGCTGTAACTCTAGGGGTTTAGCTGTAGGAGTGTAGCTGTAGGAGTTTAGTTGTAGTGCAGGAGTTTAGTTGTAGTATAGGCATTTAGCTGTAGGCGTTTAGCTGTAGGGGTTTAGTTGTAGGGGTTTAGCTGTAGCTCTAGGGGTTTAGCTGTAGGAGTGTAGCTGTAGGAGTTTAGTTGTAGCTGTAGGAGTTTAGTTGTAGCTGTAGGAGTTTAGTTGTAGCTGTAGGAGTTTAGC